CGACTCCGCTTGCATTCACGTGATTTGTCGAGATGAGAGGCGGGCGCGGGGGCAATCATCAATCAAATTCAAAGGGAAGCCGGCGCATTCTGACTGCATCACTGTCTTTACTGGGTATGTTTAGGGAATATTTGCATTTATTCACATGCGATTTGATTAGCTAGTCATGGTGGACTGTCATGATTTTGGCTAATGCCGGACACTACTGAATGATGCGCATCAGAGGGGATTTAGAAGTGGGCATACGCAAAGCCGACTGATAAAGAAGTGGGTATACGCCGTATACCTGCGTATACCCTCCACTACACCACTGCCTGCACACATCTGCACACCGCTAGCATCAACAGCTTCATCTTTGGGATCACAGTGGTTTTGTTTGGTTTGTTTTTAAATGAGAAACACACACCTTTGTTCAGCAGGGACACATTCAACTGATAATGTTACAGAAGATTCCCATTTTAAAATCAAAGAGCTCTATAAAAGACACTGATCACTATTACACTGGTACAAAAGCATCAAATCAGCAGATTAGAATGATTTCTGAAGGATCGTGAAAAGTGCTATACAAATAAAAACATGTAAAGGCTGCTGGAAATAGATATAAAATATATTAAAATAGAAAACAGTAATTTAAATTGTAATAATACTTCCAAGTATTGCGGGGGTTTTTTTTAAACTTTTTTTATCAATTAATGCAGCTTTGGTGAACAACAAGTCTGTATCTAACATGCCTTTTTAAAGGAACAGTATGCATTAAACAATTAAACACTGAATCTATTGGAGTAATGAATATAATAAATACTGAATATGTATTATCCAAGGGACTGCTTCACAAAAGGTAAACTGTAATGTGGAAGGTTTTTTATAAACACATTAATCGAGGAACATAATCTATACACATTTGCAAAAAATATATATATTAAATAAACAATTAAGTTTGTATAATCTATGGCAGGTCTCCAGGCTCCTCCAGAAGTGTGTGTCTGATCTTCTCTCTCTGTGGCAGGTCTCCAGGCTCCTCCAGAAGTGTGTGTCTGATCTTCTCTCTCTGTGGCAGGTCTCCAGGCTCCTCCAGAAGTGTGTGTCTGATCTTCTCTCTCTGTGGCAGGTCTCCAGACTCCTCCAGAAGGCCGAGGCGGAGCGGACGCAGGAGGACAGGGCTCTGCTGCAGGAGCATCAGGACACGGTGCAGGAGCTGAGCCGCAGACAGAGCCGCAGAGCCCTGCTCAAGAGGAAACAGGAGGAGGTGGACATCAACAGCGCTTCTGCGGCTCTCAGAAACTCCTCCGCCACCCTAAACCACATTAACTCTGTTATTCACTCGCCGTTTCTGTTTTCCAGTACAAGTATCCAAGCATCCTCAAATCAAGATACATTCACTTGAGATGCAGAATGAAGAAATTAAGTCTGGTTTTCTGAAAAAATGAACAAAATTAAGTAAGTTTATGGCAAGAACAAATATCTGTCGATGGGGAGTGAAAATCTTGTTGTCCTTTTAAAGGGGTCATATGATGTTGCTAAAAAGAACATTATGTTGTGTATTTGGTGTAATGAAATGTGTTTATACGGTTTAAGGTTCAAAAAACACATTATTTTCCACATACTGTACATTATTGTTTCTCCTCTATGCCCCACCTTTCTGAAACGCGTAGATTTTTACAAAGCTCATTGGTCTGAAAAGCGAGGTGTGCTGTGATTGGCCAGCTATCCAGTGCGTTGTGATTGGCCGAATACCTCAAGCGTGAGACGGAAATGTTACGCCCCTCACCATACTGTAATGCCTTGTCAGGCCGGAGCGACGAGACAAAAACATGAAAACACAATATAAACGAGGCATTCGTTGCATCCAGTGGGGACATAATTAT